TATGATAATTCTATTAATTTAAATAGTTATATTATAATCTAATCAATATTTACATTTAATCAAAATTATAGATTATATAACTAATGATAATTTTTTTATTTTAACAGATTTATTTTTCTATTTTTCTAATATATTAAATTATTAAATTAATTATTTTACATATTAAGCAACTATAAATAAAATTTTAGTTATTTATAATTTATAATTATTGAATTTTAGCAGATTTTTTATTACTACTATTTTTTTTTTTTAATATATTTATTTTAACACCTTTTACTAAATTTTTTTATTTTTATTTTTTTTGAATATTTTAGTAGAATAATATTATAAATCATATGATTTTACTTATTGTATCCTCCGAAAATAAGCAACAACGCATTTGCATACAAATCCAGCCAAGATTTAGTAATGCGGGCCATAAATCGGTTGCATATTTTCGGAAGAATACGGTATATATTTTTAACGATTTAAATATAAATTGATTTATTATTATAAATTTATTATTTCATTACTATATATAAATCGATTTTATTATTAAAAATTTTTTCAATTATATTGATAAATTTGGTATTACAAAATACAAAGAATATTATTCCGAATGATAACCAAAAAATAAATGTTTCAAATCGGAAACTTTTTTATTTGTATCATAAAAACTTATTGTTTCACAATACCTTATAATCCCTATATAGTAAATTATTTAATCCAGATTAAACAAGGAAGGAAATGAAAAGAAAAGTGGTGTAATATGCAACAAGTTCCTTACCAAATTGAATAGTTCTAAAACAGCTAATAAAGAACAGACAAATGCTGTATCAAGTTGTATCGCAGAATGAACAACTAATGAAATGATGGATTCCTGCAGGAGGGCTTCAGGTTATTTTTGTAAACGGTTCACAAAAAAAGAACGCAGATATAAAGACAACAAAACAAATTTTTTTAATATTATAAATCATAAATATTGTATTGTTTCAAAATATACTATTATTCTATATTTATATGCATTTATATGCACTTTTTATATTAAAAATTTAGTACAAAGATTGGTTTATATTTTGTGGTTGTTTCCCCGTTCCATCTAAAAGGCAATATTAAGAACATGTGGAACTTTTGTGATACCCTGATTTCAATAGCCGACAAGAACAATCCCCCAATCAACAAATTTTCAATACTATTTTTCGGAAAAAGCTTAAAGAATCGAGTGTTCCCTTTTATTCGTTGTTACCTCAAGTACTTTTTTTTTTTATTCCATGCCCCACTTTGTTGCTTGGTCCTATTAAACCCTCCCCGTTCCCCCCGTTGTTGAAAAGTAACCCAAGCTAGACGCTAAAAACTTTAATAATAGACAGAACCTCTTTGCCGCTTGCGGAAAAAAAATTTTATTTCTCTCTCAGGTTTCTCATTTCTCAAAAAGATCACCAAGGAGCTGCGCATCCATAAAGCCATATTTTTTGTTTGATACAAATTATATTGGCCTTTTTTTAACAAAAAAACTTTTTAAAATTACACTTTTCTCTCATAATTTAAACTGCTTGCAGTTATTGTCAAAGAATTTAGTTACTTGTTTTTTTTGTAAAAAGACATCTGTTAATTTTAACTAGAAAAAAAAAATATATATATATAATAAAATGAATACAGTAGAAGGTTCAATGAAGACCCCAATGGAACAAGTTGATGAGCTCAAATACTGGTTGGCAACCGCTCCAGTAAATTGGGAACTTGACCAAAATATTCGTCGCTATCTTCTTCCCACCGGTGAATATATTTCTTGTGTATTATGGAATAGCCTTTATCACATAACAGGTACAGACATAGTACGGAGTCTGGTATTCCGTTTCCAAGCTTTCGGTAGACCCGTAAAGAACATCAAAAAATTTGAAGAAGGTGTTTTTAGTGACTTAAGGAACTTAAAACCTGGCATGGACGCTTCTCTTGAAGAACCAAAATCAGAATTTCTTGAAATGTTATATAAGAATAACTGTATTCGAACTCAAAAGAAACAAAAAGTTTTCTACTGGTTTTCTGTGCCGCATGATAGATTATTTTTAGATGCATTAGAGCGTGACTTAAAACGTGAAAAGATGGGTATTGAACCTACAACAGTTGCGATTTCCGAACCTGCTCTTTCGTTCTCTTTTGATTCCACACAATCATTGTATGATCAATTCACAAAGGGAATGTCACCATCTTCATCGGCTCCATCCTCTCCACAACTTCGTGGTTTGGTTTACGAATCTTCAATACCACCAATGGCTCCTTCTATGATTGGTGCTCAAATAAAGACAGATGACCCATCCGGCGTTTTATACTCTCTTGACCAAGAATCAATGGGAAATTCATCATCAGCTCAACCTTCTTTGGGCACCTTTGCTTTATTTCAACCTTCAATTCCCGAAAATACAATGGTGAAGCAACAAATGTATCCATCTCCAGATCTTGGCTATTGTTCTATGGATGAACTTCAAAAGGGAAATTTTGAAGCAAGCTCACCACAAGAATATTTCGTTACCGGTTCTCCATGGAGCACTTCATCCATAGAAGAACAATATGTGGAAAGTCGTCACTCATCACCAGACCATTTAGAAGCCCATGTTTCAGGATTGACTCAAACTATTGTACCTTCATCAACAACATATAACAGTCCAAATACCGCTGCTACTGCCGCCAACCTTTTCGGAATGTTCTCAATCTTTGAAGGTTCCCCAACTTATAAACAAAGACGACGACGTGCGAATTCTTGCAATAATGTTAATGTAAATAATAATAGTAGCAACTCCACAACGCATCGGCCTAGTGCAGCTCCTTATCCCATGAAAACTTACACATGTCCGCTTCCAACGTGTGGTCGTCTTTTCAAGCGTCTTGAACATTTAAAACGTCATGTTCGTACTCATACCATGGAACGCCCTTATTCATGTCAAGTTTGCGGCAAGAGGTTCTCTAGATCAGATAATTTAGCACAGCATCGTAAGACTCATGAACGTGGAATGAGCAATTCTCCACCACCTTCTGATGACGGTTCCAACACCTCAGATCTTGGTTATGAAGAGAGTGTCGTCAATGATTGCTATAGTTATGATAATTCCAACATCACATCATCTTGTGTTCCTAATGGATTGGCTGTTTATACCGCCTCAGAACATGCAAATTATCCCCTTTTCCATCTACCTGCAGCATATTTGGAAGGGAATGCTGGGAACGGAATTATTGTTTAATATATTTTTTTAATAATGCTCCTCTCTCCTTTGGGGTTTTATTTTATATGTATGTATATGGTGTATCTAGACGAGAGAACCGTTTGAGTAAAAATATTTCTTTTTTTTTTTTAATCTTTGGGTGGAAAAGGACTGGACTTTATTATCGAGATCTTTTTATCTTTTTTTTCTTTTGTCAAATAGCAACAACATTCTTGGGTTTATAATTTTTTATTTTTTTTTCTGTTAATACTTTTTTTTTGTTCATAAATGACAATATTCGTTGAGACGACTGGTTCGTCTTTTAGCATTTTCTATACTATCTTCGAATATTGTCTTGTAATATTTCACAACGGGGACAATAAACATGAACTATCAAAACGTTCGATCTTGAATGTTTTTTTTTAATATCCAAAACGCTGGCGTATTTTTCAAGGAGGTGCAAGGATCCCACATAATTATAATATTAAAAAGAGAAGGAAAACGACTGGTTTCGTTACCCTTATTGTAATTAGCTTTTCCCTTTTATCCGCAAAAAAAATCACCCTTTTCACAACGAACCAAAATTTCAAAAGTACTTAATTCTCTTTTCTTCATTCTCACTTAATACTTTCTTTAATCAACAAACCCCCCGTCGTGTTCTTACATGACATTGTATTATATTATTATTATTTTTTTTTATATTATTTTATAGCAAATTGCTGGACAAATTGCCCCACCCCTATTGTCTTTTAAATATATTCCCTATCCTTTTTTTTGTTTTATTGGAAGTTCTTTTGGGAATATATGGGTGTTCGGCTATAGTCTTGCTTTTTTTCTAAGAATTATAATTCCCTGGTCCGATACCTTTAATTTTTATTTGTCAAAAAAAAAAAAAAAAAATAGTAAAAACTTTCAACTTTAACCCTTTTACCTAATAGTTTACGATTAAAAATTATTCTTTTTTATTTTTGGGAATATTTCGTGGTATTTTTTGTCTTTTGCTTGTGTTATTATAACAAAAGATAACATTTATCGCGTAAATCACCAAAAAACATAAAAAAGCAAATTAAAAATATGTTTTAAAACCCCAATTAACAACAATAAACAATAAGTGTGACTTTTAGTCAAAAATTTTTGCAATGACACTAAGGGATCACCTTTTTTTTTGTGTGGTCACTTTTTAATTCCCTTTAATGCATAATAAATAAAGTTTATTATTTTTTAATATTATTCATATACTTGATGTTTCTATTTTTTTTCTCCAACTAGATGAAAAGATATATAGAGAGGAAATTACCAATCCACCAATACTTTTTTATATTGGTAACATCTGGACCTCACACTTTGGATTGTTTTAAGTTCCTTTATTTTCTCCTTTGCTCATTTTCTTTTCTATCTTTATATTTACATCAACGTTCATATGAATTTAATTTTTCAGATTTATGATTAAAAATAAGAAAAAAAAAAATTGTTTCAATTACCATGTTTATTTTAAGAACAAAAAAATTACCTAATCGTAATTTTTTTTTGTTTTTTTAGTAAATTTATATAAAAATCTTGTGTAGTTATACCTTTTTTTTTTTTTGACAAAAATTAGAGACTAGGGAAGAGACCGAACACTTGTTTTTTTTTTTTGTTTCTATTTTTTTAAAAAAAAAAAAAAAAGAGCGACCAATAAATCAAAAAAAATAAATAATCTTTAAAAAATTGTTGATTCTTGAAATACTGCGGTAAAAATGATGAACATTAAAAATTGAATCCAAAACTCTGTTTTTGTAATTATTCTGTTCCGTATAAAAACCATCATAGTAAAAAAAAAAAAAAATGTTTGTTAATGATCCTAAAGACGTTGATAAAAAAATCGTCGAAGAAGAAGCCAAGGTCCCATGAAATTTTTTTTTTTTTGGTTTTCAATCTCTTGAAAATGATTCCTTGTGCAAAGTCTAAATTATTTCATATTTTAGCATTTACGAAAAGTCTTGAATACCTTTACTTTATATAAAACACACGCCTTATCTTCTAATAATCGTCGTAGAACGGATTATTATAGTTTATCAGAGCGACATAAAGCTTTAATACCGGAACAATTAACCAAGTTAAATAATATAGACAAGGCAATTTCAAAGAATTATCATGTATTAAAACAAATATTAGCTGATGGTAAATTATTTACTGGTGAAGAAACAAGGTATGTAGTTCAAGTTATTACATGAAATTTGGGTCAATACCTTTTGAAAATTAACAAGCTTTTAAATTTTTCAAAAAAAAACTTGAAATGGGTCAGAATAGTTTCAATAATGATAAAGACGTAGATCAAGTAACAGAGTTCGATATGGATAAATTAAGAAGTACTATTAAACAATTCGTAAGAGAATGGGCAATCGAGGTAAAATTAATCTCTTTTGGTTTTACCTGTTAATGATTATTTTCAATTAAATATTCTTTATTATACAAATAAGGGTCAACCTGAAAGAGATGCGGCGTACAAACCTTTACTTGACGCGTTAAATGAGTCTTTTAAAGATATTTCTAAAGAAGAAAGGGCATCCATTCGTGTCCTAGTTCCTGGTGCTGGTTTAGGACGCTTAGCATTTGATATCGTACAGCAAGGATTTAGCTGTCAAGGTATTATGTATTAATATATTAATAATCAAGGAATAATTGCCATTAAGTTGATTAAATTTTTTTTTTTCCTTCCTATCATTAGGAAACGAATTTTCATTCTTTATGGTATAGTCAAATCGATTTATTAAGGTATCTTTCTTCTTCTTATACAACTCTAATCGATAAATCATTTCAGTTATTAGCATCTCATTTTATTTTAAACAGGTAATAATTCTTTATATACTTTCAAATGGTTCAATATTTTAATAAATTAATAAGAAATATGTTTTATAATAGGATGGAGAGGGTTCATCAGTATGAAATTTATCCGTATATTCATTCTTTCTCCAATATCGTTTGTTCGGATGATCAATTAAAACCCATTTTCATACCAGATATATTACCTAGCAACATTCCACCGAATTCTAATTTTTCAATGGTAGCGGGTGATTTCATCGAAGTTTATGGAGAGGAGCAACATACGGAAAAATGGGATTGTGTGGTCACTTGTTTTTTCGTTGATACGGCCAAAAATATTTTAGAGTATATGGAAATATTTCATCGAATTTTGAAACCAGGAGGATTATGGATTAATCTTGGTCCGTTATTGTATCATTACGAAAATTCTCCCGGAGATATGTCAATTGAATTAACTTTGGAACAAGTTAAATTTGCTGCAAAAGATATTGGATTTCGATTTCAGGTACCTTAATATCTAATATACGCGTGATTATTTTATATGATTTAATCTTAAAATTCTTTATTTAACATTCGAAAAAAAAAGGACGAGAGAATCATAAATACTACTTATACCTCGAATCCAAATGGGATGCTAAAGTACGTCTATGAATGTGCCTTTTGGATCTGTGTCAAAAAGTGATATATTTAGATTATACTTTTAATATTAAACATGAAATAAATTGCGAAAATTCACTATTCAGTTTCGGGAAATTTTAACTGATAGGGTGCTCTATTGATGTCATATGGGGGCCGGTCTAGCAAAAGCCGGGTTAGGCAGATCACGTGATTTCAAGAAAATCGCAGTTTAAAATTATTGGTTAATTTAGTAAATTGCAATTTATTCCGTCATTTTTAAAAATTTTTTAAAATTAAGTTTTATTTCATTCATTAAATATAATAATATACTGTAAAAATACAATTATAAATTATAAAATATTATATTTTTTTAATATGCTAATTTTTTTGAAAAATTAGAACAATAAATATATAATTATAATAAAATTTTAAAATCAAAAGTTTTGGCTAAGCCCGGACTGGTCCCCATATATCTCCTAACGCGTGTAACCATAATAATAACCATGATAATGACAATATTCAACCTTTTATTTTATTCAAAAGAAAACTATTTATCCTTTTTGAAGCTCCGGACATGGGTTTTATAATTATTTTTCACAGTATACTCATACTTATAATACTCCTTTAATTCTTTAATTCTTATGAATTTATATATCATCTCAATTGTAAATAAGAGGATTTATTGTGACCATTGAGGTACATCTCTCCGATCATTACTAAATTAAGTTATGTCTTTATTCAAACAACTTGTAGGGTACACGCATTTCAACCTTTGAGGTACTCATTTGTATAACTGTATAACGGGATTAACTTTAAAAGGTTTGAAATCCCACCGATTGCTTTATATCAAGGGTGTACCTTCATGGTTTTTTTTCCTTCAGTTTTTTAACATTTTGAAACATTTTGCCTTTTCCTTTAAAAATAAAGTAAAATACCCAGTATTATTTTTTTTTATTTTATAAAAAAAAAGAGACCAAGAAATACTTTCGATAAGTTGCATAGTTTTACATTCATTTTACATATAACCATATAAAAATGAACAGCTGCCAAGCACCTTTAGAAAATAATAACTTACAAGGCTGGGTTTTGGCGCTTGCGTCAGGACTGGCCTGTTGTTTAGGAGGTAAAGATAGTTTCATTTTATTTTTAAAAAAAAGAAAAAGAAAAAAAAAAAAATTTTTTTTTTTTAAATTGCAAGTTTTACAAATTTATAACCGCTCGTCGTTATTTTTATATTAGCATCTGTGGTGTTTTCGGATCTTTTCTTTCAAAAGTTTAAATGCACACAATTTCTACAAATCGCTCATAATTCAAAATTCTTGGTTGCTTCATTATCACTTGGTGCCGGAGTAATGGTATCTTATTGTATTCTCTCTCTCTCTCTCTCTCCCTCTCCCTCTCTCTCTCTCTAATAAACTATATTGTTTAATTTCGAAATTAATATACACATTTAGTTGTTCTCAAGTCTATTTATATTGTTAAACGAAGCCAAAGAGTATTTTCGAAAAACTCCAAAATTGAGAGAGTATTCAGGGATAAGTTTGATTGCATTCTACTTTTTAGGCGTAATCGGGTCGGCGATTATAAATAAACTTATTCATCATGCATTGAGTGGTTCTTCAATACACTCACATCACCATCATCATCATATTCCCGATGATATTAAAAAACCGCAAGTAAATAAGCATGACGTAGAATCCCTCTTAACCCAAAATGATTCACATGACGAAAGGTCTCCATTATTAAGAAATCATATGGATGGTATTTCTTCTCCATTATATGATGTAGAAAGTAACGATTGTTACAACGAAACCGCTTGTTCAGAAAGACATTCTGTTTGTATGGTTGAAAATGATACACGAGAACCTGATCTCGAATCTTTATGTTATCATGATTCTCATGATGATCAACATATTCATGTCGATTCGGAACATGAACAAATCATGCGAATTGGAATTCAGACCGCTTTGGCCATTTCCATTCATAAATTTCCAGGCATGCTTCCTTTATTTTATTTTATTTTCTAAATATTTATCTTTTTTACATTTGTTTGCATTCATTTCCTAATATGAAAGTTCTATCTTAATCACAAATAGAGGGACTTATCACATTTGTCACCTCGCAAGTATCACCATCTATTGGTTTCGCTTTATTCTTTGCTATTGCTTTACACAATATCTCTGAAGGATTTACTATTGCACTTCCATTATATGTGGCAACACAATCACGAATAAAGAGTTTCTTATATGCAAGTTTACTAGGAGGTTTTAGTCAACCATTTGGTGCTTTAATAGGATATTTGTTTTTAAAAGAGTCTGAAGCTGCATGTTGGGATCATAACTTCATTTATGGTGCATTATTTTCCGCAGTCAGCGGACTGATGGGAGTGATTTGCATTCAGGTAAAAAAAGGAAAAAGAAATCTTTTATTTAAAACAATTTGTTTCATTTATTAAAAATATTTTACTTTAATCTTTCTATAGGGAATGTTACCACAAGCCATCAAACATGACAAATCAGATGGTCATCTAACGACCATCTTCTTTTTCTTGGGTGTTTTAATTATGGGAAGTAGTTCAGCTTTGTTTGACCACGCTGCTTCGTTTGAACCCTAAGAATAATCATTATCTTTTGGATTAAAATTAAAAGTAGATCTTTTTTGTTTTTTTTTGTTTACTTCGAATTATTTATCTGAATGATCAGAAAATTATTTAATTCGCCTTGTACAGATATTATTATAAACAATAAAAAAAATATATATATATATTTATAAATTATTCTAATTCGCCATTGCCATGCCATAATTATATGTTTCAGGTCTCTTAATTATTATTATGTTATTTTATTTTTATTAATAAATACAAATAGTGAAAAAAAACGAAAAAAGAAATATATATATACAGTTATAATTCTCGAGTACTCAAAAAGTCCATAAGCTGTTCCAACATCGGATTTCCGCCTAACCTTTGTATCTCATCTCTAGATTTCTTTTCTGTTTTGGATAAATAATTTTTAGTATAATCAAAAGAACCGGATTTTTCCATAATTTTCACTGCAAATTGCTTTAATTCAATAGAAGTCGTATGTTGTTTTAAAATATCTTTATAAGTGAAAAACGCAAATTTTTTTTTTTTCAAATTAAGGAATAAATGAATTGATATTATTCTTTAATTCAATTTTAGTCTTAAAGGATACTTATTAGTTTTCTATTATTATTGAGATCATTATGAATGGAATGTATGATTGGAAAAGAGAATTTTCCTTCCGTTAAATCTTCACAAAAACCTTTATTATCTGCATACTATATAAAATCATAAAATCATAGTAAATATAATAGAAAATAAAGATAAATTAAGATAAAAAATTACCTTATCCGATTGTAAGTTCATGTAATCATCACGTATTTGGAAATGAATTCCAATCAGATTAACAAGTGGAACATAATCGCTATATATAAAATATGTGATGAGTTATGATGATATGCGAGAAAATATAAAAACTTTTTGAATTCGACACAAATAAAACTCACATTTTAGATTCACTCGCCGCTTGCATTAATTTTACGCCCAAACGTAGTAAACCACCAGTTTCTATTCATTTCATTTATTATAAAAGAAAGAGAATTAACATTTTCTTATTCTGTTTTAATAATAAAAGAGAGAAATAATTTATGACGTTCTTACTGTTTGAAACCATTTCGATGAACTCTTTTTCAGAAGGACAAATCAAATTATCTCTCCAATAGAGTTCCAGACCTTGCCCACGATGAAGCCTTAACAATTCCTCTAAAATAAACAAGTTATTTAATCATTTAAAATAATTGAATGAATTTCGATTACTACATTTACCTGTATAAATATTAAACATATTTACATCATTGAGCTTTGTTAGTTCGTTTAATCCAAGAAAATATACATAATTCGCGCAATTAATTGTGGCAGGTATCCCATAAATAGAGTGTGCAACTGTAATATATTGATATTAGAATCGATACGTACACAAAACGTACGTCAAATGTGATATGTTTACCTGGAACACCCCGGCGTAACTTTGAATCGTCTTCTACATCATCAATCCTTTAAATTATACCAATTTAATTTGAATTAATAATTAATAATAGTCTAATGTTCGATTAAACAAATCGAAAACGCTTACAATAAACTGGCGGTATGTAACATTTCGACAACCTTGCTTATAATTGTCAATTTATCTTTAGGAACTTTAAGCCAATGATCAAAGGCATCGATCAATTTGCTTCTAATTTCTTTACCAGGATGAGCTAACAAGTAATTATAAGGTTCTAAAAGAAACTTTTTTTAAAAAAAAAGAAAGAAAGAAAAACGATATGTAAAAAAGTATAAAATTAAAGGAAAAAAACACGTTTTGGTAATTTTATACTTCTTCTTTTTCCTGAGTCCATGGAGTTGAAGCAGGTTGTTGTTGACTTGTAGCTTCAGTAAAGTTTGTAAAAATGTCTTTGTTATGAACAATTTTCTTCATTTTTTAAAAATAAAGTATCAAAAATTTAAGGTTACACCAAGAAATGTAAAAAATTAAAGACCACACAATTTTCGTGTCCTATAAAGTTTAATTAGGTTTAATTGTAAGTTAGCAAAAGATCAGCACGTAAGATTTTATTGAAAAAAAAAAAGTTAAACAGATTTCTTATGATTGGTTACGGATCATCCGCGCCTTAATTTTCTGATCCGTTTTTTGGCTGATTTGATCTTTAATCGTGCAAAAAATAGACTAACTTGAATAATACCTGGGGTACTATTTAAGGTATATTAAAAAGAAAAAAGGGTGTGTATTAAAAAGGGATATATACTAATTAATTATTAATTAAAAAGAAAATAACAAAAATAAATATAGTAATATTTAATATTAAAACTAATTTATTATTAAATATAAAAAGAATAAAAGAAAATAAATAAATAAATAAAATAAGCAATTTTATAAAAAAAATTTTATATAATAAAGTATCTTTTAATTATTTTGAATTACTTAATTTTATTTAAATCTTTAAAAATAAAGAAATTTGTATTTCATTAATATGATTAGAAATTGTCTTTAAAAAATTTCAATAAAAGGCTTATGTATTAGTAGAGCATTTTTGGGGGTTCTGAGGTCAAAAAAAATTTTGAATAGCTATACAAATATTGTGAAACCTCCTGGCTTCTTTCCCGATATACGAAATTTTGAAATCTTTATTAAACCCTAAATTAGCCTACAAGACCAGGAAACATATCAAATTTCGAATAGCTGTATAAAAGTGTGTAGCCTTCCGGCTACTTTCCTGATATACGAAATTTTTAAAATCTTTATTAATTTCCAAATTAGCCTACAAGACCAGGAAACATACAAAAATTCAATATGGAATTCATGCTTAAAAACGAGTTAGGGCTTAAATTTAGCTAACATATCTCCTTACCCAAATTTTGAGTTTCCAAAACTAAAATGTACACCATCTTTGTTAGCACGCTGGCCTCTTTTTAATCCCAAATAATATAACGAAAAAGTATGCAATTCTACTTGCCCTTAAAAAAGAACAGCGAGCACTGAGGACTGAAGTGTCCGAGTGTGCTCGCGGTTCTCCCAAGCAAGCCTAATTAGCATACCATTTTTTATGTTATCCTAGAATTAATTCTAAAACTGATTCATTATCATCTAGCAAAGTAAAAAAATTCACACCTAAGCTCGTCTTAGGTGTAAATTTTTATATGTGTACAAGAAAGTTAAAAAGCTATAGAACATATTCTAGCATACCAATATTTCTCGATATACAGAAAACCATTCTTGAACCATTTAAACCCCAAATAGTTAGGGTCAAAAAGTCTAATCTCAGGTGAAAAATATGGGATGAGTGTAAATTTTTCGGGTCCCAGTCAGTGTAAATTTGGGATAGGTGTAAAAAAATTCCGCATATCAAGTAGGGCAATTTTTTGGAGGTTCTGGGGTCAAAAAAATTTCAAATAGCTATACAAATATTGTGAAGCCTTCCGGCTTCTTTCCCGATATACGAAATTTTGAAATCTTTATTAAACCCCAAATTAGCCTACAAGACCAGGGAACATATCAAATTTTGAATAGCTGTACAAAAGTGTGTAGCCTCCCGGCTACTTTCCTAATATACGAAATTTTTAAAATCTTTATTAATTCCCAAATTAGCCTACAAGACCAGGAAACATACCAAAATTCAATATGGAATTCATGCTTAAAAACGAGTTAGGGCTTAAATTTAGCTAACATATCTCCTTACCCAAATTTTGAGTTTCCAAAACTAAAATGTACACCATCTTTGTTAGCACGCTGGCCTCTTTTTAATCCCAAATAATATAACGAAAAAGTATGCAATTCTACTTGCCCTTAAAAAAGAACAGCGAGCACTGAGGACTGAAGTGTCCGAGTGTGCTCGCGGTTCTCCCAAGCAAGCCTAATTAGCATACCATTTTTTATGTTATCCTAGAATTAATTCTAAAACTGATTCATTATCATCTAGCAAAGTAAAAAAATTCACACCTAAGCTCGTCTTAGGTGTAAATTTTTATATGTGTACAAGAAAGTTAAAAAGCTATAGAACATA